TGTCACATTGAGGTCAACCACGGTTAACTCAAATTTGTGGACCAGAGTCAAAGATGGTCACAATCGGTAGTCAAGTCTTTTGAGGGAGTCCAGTGGTACTAAGCCCTGTAGCGCAGATTTAATTAACATAACATAACAGCATGACGTGGCAGACAGCACTATAGGCTCCACCCATGCGTACTTGCAGCGGGGCTCTCCAGGATGTCTCCGACTCTGCAATCATGGGAGTCCTGGATGTAGGTGTGCGGCGGCGATGACGTCTAGATGTCGGTCAGAAAAGGCCTTAGCGCACGTACGTCCTCACTCCTTTTTCCCATCCTTTCGAGATTCTATATCCCAGGACCCGTTGCCAGTATTCACGACCGTTGGATTGTTGTCTACGTCCTGGATCTTACCCGCACTGCCGATGTGGCCACCGAGGCCAGACTTCAGTAGACCACTTTTTTTCCCATCAACAGCGTCCCTGGAATCGCTCGGCGGCAAGATCGACAGAAGCGGCAATGGCAACAGGGAGGACAGGTTGGTGAACAAAACTAGCCAAGCCAGATTTGTGAAATCTGTGCCAGTCACGCCAAGAAGGCGAGTCACAGCTCCGCCCAAGACATTGCCTGTGAGGCCGGCCCCATTTGATATGGACATCAACGTTGCGAACAGTGTCGCCTCTATGCCCTCTGGGCATACCCTTGCTGCAAGAACTAGAATCGGCATGAATGAGATCTGCAAAACCACAGAAAAGTGCACAGGGCCTTGTCAGTGTCACGCATGCTTCAGGAGGGGGGGGGGTGTAATTTAGGGACACATGACTCCTTGCATGCGGTGAACACACTAGGTGAAAACAGGGGCCATGGAGCAACACACACACCTGTCTCTTATACACATCTAGATGTGTATCCCACCCCAACCCAACCCACCCCTCCGGTTGGCGACAACAACCTTATCTATGTGCATAACGATGCCATATATACCCACTTACGCGCCCGACGCCCTTCCCCATATGAAAACCCTGTACTACACGACAAAACACATCCATGTATACACAGCCATCCTGGCTGCGAACATCCCTGCTCAAGCCTCCAACGAGGGAG